TGCTGAGAATGAGGGTCACCCCAACTGACCGTCATCTCCACAGGTCTTTCCCATCATATGGTAGAAAAGCCGGGAGCTCTGAGCTTTCCAGCTGGACCTGACCATGTAGCCTTGGTGGGTTCAATCCCACTTTCTGGATGTCCCTATACCTGGCCAGTAGGAGAATAGCCTACCCTTGTGGGGACTTGGGGGATATGGTAGCAGTCTTCTTGGGGAGTCCTTTAGGGTCTTTCCGCTGGGCCTTCTGACTCCCTCTCCCCTTTTTGTTCCTTCTGGGTCTCTCTCTCTGCTTTTCATTGGCTGTCACCCTCTGGCTGACTTGCTGTCTGTCTGGCTCTTTCTCCATCTGGCTATCTCTAATTGGTTGACCATCTCTTGTTGCCTGTCTCTCACCCTCTCTGATTGTGTCTGTCCCTCTGTCTGAAGTTCTATGTACTTATCTACATTTTATTTCTGTCTGTCTATGTGTTTTTCTCTATCTGTGTCCTACTCTATCTGTGTCTGTCTGTCTGTCTCTGGATCAGTATCATGGACACACATATCTAATTTGTGTGCATGTATTCTCTCCCTACTCTCTCCCTGTCTATCTCTCTGCTTCACTATGCTCTTTCCTGATGTTGGATGGTGCCTCTCCTTCAGGCTGACCTTGCCTTTAGCCCCCCATTGGGGTCTTCAATGAGTCCTGAGCTGCCCCAGGCCCCTGCTCCAGTTTTCTTTGGGGCAAGGAGTCCGGCTGTCCAAATATTTGGCTGCCTCCAGGGGATTCCGGGTCAGCAGGGAAGAGGATGGGCTAGCTGGCTCGGGGTCTCCCCTGCCCCTGGGGGGCCACAGGCACGTGATGTCCTGTCCTTTGCCTCAGCTGGGCCTTGGGCTGCACGTCCCTCTCAGCAGGCTGGCAGCCGGGGGAAGGGGGCCGCTGTTGGCTATGGCCCGGTCTTGAGTCAAGAGGTTCAGCTGCAGCCTCTACTAGGGGTAACCTGAGCAAGGAGGGTCCAGGACTGATCCAGAGGGTAGACCTAGGTGGACAGGGCTTGACCCAAGCTGAGGACCTCTTGGGCGTCTAGGAAATGTTCCCTGCCACAGGAAGGTCCACTTTCCGGCCCCAGCTGTGGATCTCTCAGATCCTCCCAGATACCTCCGGATGCCCGGAACACACAGGCACAGACCTTAGATCACAGAACCAGGGAACTGGAGGACAGGGATGCCCAGTACATAAAGCTCTGGACCCCCTGCCTTTGCCTAGGCTGCGCCCGCTCCTGCGTGCTACCCCCTCAGTACCAGCCTGGTATTGGCTGCATACTGGCCCCTCAGTGTTGTTGACAATAAGGGAGTGCTGGGCAGGGGACTAGCATCTACTGGGGTCAAAATCTGGAGTTGTGGATCTGGGGAGAGGTGAGGGGGGTGTCTTGTAGTACCTCCCCTGTTCTGCACACTGTACCACATGCCATATCCTCAGACCTCTGACCTCAATAATCAGCTCCCCACCAATCCTGTGGCTGTGCCTTGAGTACACACAAGTCAAATGTGTTGACTGAGTCTGGTTTTCCATTGACTGATTTGTTGTAGGAGTGGAGGCCTTCCCTTTGAGGCCTGGGGAAGCACATGAGCAGAGAGAGAAGCAGCTGTCTAGATGGGTGCCAGCCTAGAAGGAGCACCTTATCTAAGTCAAGAAGGAGAATGGTGAGGATGGGCTGAGTTAGAACTAGGGATACCCCTAGTTGACTCACTGCCATCTAATCACTCATAGTGACTCCCATTGGGCTTCCGAGGCTATAAATATTTACAGAAGTAGATTGCCTCATCTTCCTTCCATGGAGCAGTTGGTGGGTTTGAACTGCCAGCCTTCCCAGAAATAACCACAGTGGACCCTCAAGTCAGACCAGCTACCCTTCCTCTGAGATCTGGGCTGAGTCAGGGCTGCTCAGGCTCAAGGTGTTTGGGGGTCATGGGAGCAAACTCTGCTGGCACTGTGCCCCCACCAGTGCATGGCCTGGATTATTGGGCCTGAAAATCTTTAATTAGCCTAACCCAACACCTGCCAAGGTGTGCCTGACAAATTCTCACCCTGTGATGCTGTGTGAGTGGGCATCACCTGCTACACCATCCCTGTAGCTCCTGGCTCCCTCCTGGTTCTTATCTCTCAGCAGAGCAAATAGATCCCAGGGCAGTGGCCTGGACCATTGATTTACTGCCCAGACCCATGCTGTGCCCATGACAGATGCCATTCTGATGACCCAGTCAAGATCACAGTGATCTCTCTTCCCTGGTACCTGAAACTTCTCTGGGCACCTGTGGAGTTAAAGACCCTGAAGAGGCTCCTTACCCCATCCCTAGCTTCAGTCAGATCTCACAGGGGACAGGGAGGCACTGAAGTTCAGAGTGGGGAGTACTCTTTGCCACAGTCACATAGCAAGGTAAGGCTGGGCAGGGCCTCAGACCCAGGGTGTCCATTCTGGGCTTTCCACACGGTGGGTTAGGATCTGCTGGCAGCTTTCCTCATGCACGGGTTCTCTCCTGAGCATACCCTGAGTGCCTAGTACAAAGGAGTCTGGGCAGTGACAGGCCTAAGGGGCTGGAGTGGTTGAAAATGGGCTAGCAGTCTCCGGGAATGGCTGGGGCCTGCACACCAGGCTAGAACTAATCTCCATTGTGGCCCCTGGCCCTCAGCCCTGGCCTATATTGAAGTCAGACTCCATGGCCTGATCTTTAAGGCCCTGTCAGGTTTGTGTGTGGCATAGAACACTCAAACTGATTCTACCTTCACAGACTACCATCTACCATCTACATTCCCACCAGACCACAGGGCCTTTGCCCATGCTGTGCCCTCTGCCTGCAGCACTCTTTCCTCCTTCAGGAAGCCCCCCTTGATTTCTTTCTCTTTTACTGATACTCAGTACTACGTATCCTACATTCAATTGCAGCAGGAGTATAGGGTGTATATGGGGAGTGTTTAAGGGTCTGGAAGAGGAGTATGTCATGTCCTCTCTGGGCTCTCAGGCCAGCTGGAGACCCAGCAGTGACTGCTCATAACTAATCTCTACCAGGCCCTGAAGGTCTAGAACCAGGAAGGATGGGGAACCTGGAGCGAGGACCTCAGGCACCTCCCAGTAGCCCATGCTGTGGGCTGTGGTCTCCCTGGAGGCAGTGCCTGGCTGCTAGGGAAGAATATTAAGGCAGAAAAAGGTGCTTTGTCCAGGCTGCCGACTCAGCATACTCCAAGGGCCTGTCCCAGCCTGTCTAGGACAGGGGGCCAGGCAAGGGCAGCCCCAGCTGAGTGCCAGTCTGACTCTGGAGACCAGCCACCAGGACCTCTATACCCAGGTGGGATCCTTTGAGGGGTGCTGATGGCGAGGCATGAGGATAGGCTGACCTCAGGAGCCCTGGTCTGGAGGATGGGGGCTCAATAAGAGCTGTCAGCATTGTGATGGTCCTGAGTAGGGAGGCAGCTGGCAGGAGAGGAGGGCTCAGACATATCAGAGGAGGGAGAGCAAGTTGAGGGGGTCCAGTGCTCCCCGTGTGGGGTCCACAGCCATGGTGCCTGGGTTCAAAAGTCTAGCCTGGGGCTGCCTGGGACAATGAGGGACTATCTCTGGTTAATGATGTATGTGTCTCTGGCCAGTACTGTGTGGCCTCCCCTCCCTACTCTTACCCCCAAGTGCTAAGTCTGAATGTGAAGTCCCAGGTTACAAAGCAAACCTGAGACCATCAGAGTCTAGAGTGGGGATGGGGGATTCAGAGAAGGATTCTGGATTCTCAAACAGAGGGGGCCTTGGGACCAGGCTCTGGCTGCCCCAGCTGGCAGTGCTACCCCTTCCCCATCCTCTCCTCTGGCCTTGGTGCTCCTGCTGGCAGGTCTAGTCTTCAGGACGTCCTCACAGAGCCTGGGGGCACTATGCCCAGGGACCTTCTGGGCATAGGGTAGGTGGCACCAGGCCCCAGTGATGGGAGAGGGGCCAGTGAGTTGTCTGGGCAGTGGGGTGAGGGGGTAACTGTTTCCCTCAAGACCCAGCAAAGCCAAGCCCTGAGAGAAGGGAAAAGGGCCTGATCCAGTGATCCAGTCCCCTCTCCAGCTGGCTGAGGCTCTGAACGTCTGGCCAGGGCTCTGGGAAATGGAGGGTTTGCTCAGAGGGTCCACTTCTGGAGGGTAGCACCTGGGGGTGGGAGTTCCCTGGCAGGGGAAGAGAGCCTGGAAGCTAACATGAGGCCAGGTAAGGCTTGTGTGGTCCAGGGAACTGGGCCCTGGGGCACTCATTTCCTGGAAGGCCCACCAAGGGCCCTTCACGGCTAGGAGGGAAGGGCCCAGGTGTCCAGCCACCCAGCACTGCCTCAGGCCTCCTGGCTCCGGGGGGTTAGCCTTTGCGCCTGCTGTTCCCAGCGCCAGCTCTCAGCCCACAGAGGGCCCTTTGTTCTGGCTGCCAACAGTGCCCGCCGGGCGGCTGGGAACAGGGCCCACAGTCCTCACCCTGTCCCGAAGCCTCCAGCCGTCGGGCAGTGCCATTCTAGGTTGGACAGGAGGCCCCTGGCATGTGAGAGCAGCACAGGAAACCATCTTCCAGTATTAATGTCAGAGTAGGGGAGTCAACCCAGGGCCCATCTCCAGAGTAGAGTCTGGAGGTCTGGGACTCAGATCCTGGTGCCACTGAGCTCTGAACTCAAGTCATCCAACTGACACTCCTTCACAGAGGGGAAACTGAGGCCCCAAGGACTAGTCTGGGCTGGTGTGTGTTTAGGGAGAGGGTCACATACTGGCTGAGGTGTCCTGCCAGGATGGCCTGGGAGAGCCAGATATTACCGCTTCATCCTCCTGAAGGCAGTCCCAAGGAGGCAGCCAACAGAGCCAAGTGGGCACATATACTGTGCATGACTCTGAAGGAGGTCTGCCATGGCTGTAAGCTCTGTGTGGGAGGCTAGGCAGTGGGCCCCAGCAGGGGAATAACCAGAGAGACCGTCTGCTCTGCAGACTCCTGTTGGTGTGAGAACTGGTTGTGGGTGCCTGAGTCATGGAGGCACCTCTGCAGACGGAGATGGTGGAGCTGGTGCCCAACGGCAAACACTCAGAGGGGCTGCTCCCAGCTGCTGCCCCTACGGTGGACAACCAGAGGTGAGCAGAAGGACCCAGCCATGGCTCAGGACAGAGCAGGGGCAGGGGGACAAGAGCAAGGGGCTGGAGCTGAGCCACCTGCCCTGCCTGTGCCTACAGAGTCGAGGGCCCCAGACAGAGCTGTGTTGAGGGTGAAGGCTTCCTGCAGAAAAGTCCCAGCAAGGAGCCACACTTCACAGATGTGAGCTGAGGCGGTGGTGCGGGTTTGGGGCACTCCTGGGAGCGTGCGTGATGGGAGACCCAGGGTCGGTGAGGGGGGTGCCATGGTGCCCCATGCTGTGCTGACTGCCTCCACCCTTCCCGTCCCACTCTGGTGCCTGCAGTTCGAGGGGAAAACATCGTTCGGGATGTCAGTATTCAACCTCAGCAACGCCATCATGGGCAGTGGCATCCTGGGGCTCGCCTATGCCATGGCCAATACAGGCATCATTCTTTTCCTGTGAGTGCCCACAGGGAACCTGCTGGAAGATAGGCTCGGGGGCTGGGAGCCCTAAACAAGCTGTCAACCATGACCTCCCATGACCTGCCAACTCCCAGTCCCTAGGCCCAGGCTGCAGTGGGTGGGCACTTCTTAAACTCAGTCCAAACCGCGGCTGAAAAAACACCCAAGGCCAGACAAATATACCTCACTGCCGAGCAAACCCTCTGAGGTCATGACGTGGAGCCAGCCTTACAGGCCTAAGTCTGTCCTTCTACCACACCCACTCATGATGGCCGAGTCCCTATGGCCAGGCCTTGTGTGGATACATGTGTCTTTCACCTGGGAGCTCTGCCCTGCAACCTGGATGGAAAATGTATTTATGCCAATGACATGGGGGAAAGAGGTGCTCAGAGGACCCCCTTCTGGGTCATGTCCCACCTTGGGTCACACAGGGGACTGCTTATCACCCCTGGGACCTGCTGAGCTTGCACTGCATCTGTTGGGGGGTCTGGATACCCAGGGGCTACACACCCAGGTCTCCCGGAGCCCATGCTCCCCTGCCAGCCAGAAAAGCCCCAGTGGCCTCTTGTCGCCTGTCTTTCCAGGTTCCTGTTGACAGCTGTTGCCCTGCTCTCCAGCTACTCCATCCATCTGCTGCTCAAGTCCTCAGGGATAGTGGGTAAGCCTCAAACCAGGCCTTCAGTAGGGGGTGTGGTATCAGGGAGCATCCCTGACTGTCCTGACCCCTTGTACCCACAGGCATCCGTGCCTATGAGCAGCTGGGCTACCGTGCCTTTGGGACCCCAGGGAAGCTAGCCGCAGCCCTGGCCATCACACTGCAGAACATCGGAGGTGAGGCCAGTGGGTGGTAGTAGGTGGGTGGACAGGGCCAAAGGCTGGCTGGTTCACCTAACTTCAGGGCCTGCTTGCCCCTCTCCCCCTAGCCATGTCCAGCTACCTGTACATCATCAAGTCTGAGCTGCCCCTTGTCATACAGACCTTCCTGAACCTGGAAGAGAAAACCTCGTGAGCCCCAGGGTGGGGAGAGGCTGGGGGAGGGCGGGAGGCCCAGTGTACCCCACCATGCCCACTCTGGCCTTGGGGGCTCAGACTGGGTTGGTGAGAAAGATAAGACAGAGCAGACAAATGATTGGTGGAGGGGATGGAGACCTGCCAGTAAAGCCAGCATTCAGCCCACATTGTTGTGGATCATCTAGGGGAACCCCCAGAAGGGGTTGGGGAGCTGGGGTGGGGTGGTGAAGCTAAAGAAGCTAGCTTGCCTGGCCCTGGGCCCAGTCTGTGAGCATGAGTGGAGGTGAGAGCCTCCAGGCTTAGCTCTAAGCACTTACTATTCCTGAATGGGGCTTGGACGTTAGCCCCCCTAACCAAGAACTTAAGCCCAGGGTGTCCCAGTTGCTCATCACTTTAACCAGCCCTGCCTAGGCAAGCAGAGAGGCTGGGAGGCTGAAGGCAGCTCCAGGAGGAGGAGGAAAACAAGCCAGGATGCTGCCCCGGGGCCCTGGAGACCTTTCCCAAAGAGTTGGACGTTGGGCTGCCCTTGGAGGATAGTCCCATCACTTCTGTCCCTGTGCCCCATGCCCCTTCCCAGGTGGGACAGGGAGATGCAAGATGCAGAGGCCAAGAGGAAACACAAGATTGGAAAGTCCCTGAGACTCCCTTGGAAAATGCCTCCTTTGTCCCACCCATCTCTCTCAGCGCCTTGGGTCTTCTCCCTGGGCAGGCTGAGCCCAGATCCATGGGTCCTGAGTAGTGATATAATTGGAACTCTTAATTGGCCAATGCCTCAGTCCACTTCACTGTGAGGTGGGTGCGGAGATGATGCCCATTTTGCAGATGAGAAAAGGAACACTCAGAGCTGAGGACAAGTATTCTTTAGTGGTCGGTCACTCAGTGGCATCACTGTTGACCCTGATTGGGGGAGACAGGTAGCTCAGCCTTGGGCAGAAAGGGCTCTGACCTTGGCATCCACTCCCATCCCTACAGGGACTGGTATGTGAATGGAAACTACCTGGTAATCCTAGTCTCTGTCACCATCATTCTGCCCCTGGCACTGATGCGGCAGCTTGGTGAGTGGTGTGTCGAGGTCAGGGACCCCCGAAGGGGATGGTGGAGGGAGCACAGGAGACGACCCTCAATCTCACAACCCTCCTCCACTTTGTAGGCTACCTGGGCTACTCGAGTGGTTTCTCTCTCAGCTGCATGGTGTTCTTCCTCATTGCAGTGAGTCATCCTCCACAATGGTCAAGGAAGTGGGCAGGTCTCTCAGGGGAGTTCTCTGTCAAAGGGATGGGGCAGATCTCCCAGGGGAGCCTGGGTCAGAAGACAGCACCTCCATTTCTGATCTAGATATGGTCCTACAGTGACTTCCCAGACAGCCTAATCTGGCCCTGATACCCTCATCCCCACCCAGACCAAAAAAAAAAAAAAAAGTAAAAGCAAGTGGACAAAAGACGAGATGCATTGGGCAATATTTTAATCTTGTTAGAAATCTTTGGAACTTCAAAATGAAGTGGTTTGTTATATTAAATAATATATGCTATAATATAA